TTCTTCTTCTTCTTCTTCTTCTTCTTCTTCTTCTTCTTCTTCTTCTTTCCATGTCAGACAAGTAATGTGCCGAGGTCGTAACAGGGAGGCACATGTCACATAACGGTGTGAATATCCAATCATCACTCTTAGGAACTACAAAAGGAGAAGAGCTCTCTTGTGTCTCCTCCTTTTTTAAGGACACAAATCCTATCAAATTAGGGCCCCAGTCTTAGGACCTCATTTAACCTTAATTACCTACAAAGGACCCTATCTCCAAATACAGTCACATTGGAGTTTGGGGCTTCAACAGATGAATCTTGGGGGCACACAAACCCATCCATAGCACACAGTCTACGAAGTCTTTCTTTTTTAAAAAAAAATTTTTTTTTCAACGTTTTTATTTATTTTTGGGACAGAGAGAGACAGAGCATGAACGGGGGAGGGGCAGAGAGAGAGGGAGACACAGAATCGGAAGCAGGCTCCAGGCTCCGAGCCATCAGCCCAGAGCCCGAACAGGGGCTCGAACTCACGGACCGTGAGATCGTGACCTGGCTGAAGACTGCGCCACCCAGGCGCCCCTATGAAGTCTTTCTTAATCTGGCCTAATTTACCCACTACCCTCTCTGCTTTCATGCTTCTATACCTTCAATCTCTCTTGGTTCCTTTAACTTGTTCAGTTTTCTGCAGCGCTGATCCCTCCATCATCTTACCTCTTTCTCTGCCTCTCCTATTCCTATTTAGTCTTTGTAAGGAAATATCCATCTATCCTTGGAGCAAATGGATATGGTTTGCCCACTTTGGCTCTGAGTCCCCCAAGATATCATAGGACCTGTCTTGGATCTCTTCAAGAGTGCTTATTTTTTTGAGAACCGAGACCTGAAGACACCCAATTACAAAATAGAATGTACAGCCCCCATTGTAAGCCGGAGATGGAAACTCAGTCCCTCTTTACTGGTTTCCTCCTTTTGGACCTATATCTCACCCTTTCTATTTCTGCTTGGGCAAACCACTGAATTATTTCTTGAGGGACATGGCCCTCCCTTGCCTAGTAAGCAGTAAACTCAGCTTCGCTCTTCTGCCAGCTCCCACGTCTTTGTATCTTGGTTTGTTACTTTCAAGTCTCAGTTTAAATATCGGTTTCCAAGGGAGGCCTTCCCTGAAACCCCATCCTGTGTTTAGTCCTTTGTCTCTCCATTCCTGTGGCAGCCTATGTTCCCCCTTTCCTAAGAGTCACTACCTCATCCCTGTATGTTTCGTGTCTGTTCTTCTGAGCAACCTAGGCAGCATGCACCTCTGTCTACTCGGTTGCAGTTCCCCAGGTTAGTGCAGCACCTGCTCCTAGTAGGCTATTAGAAACTGTTAGCTTTTATTAGTGGAAGCTCTGTAAATATCCACTGGCTTGAGTTGTTTTCAAATAGTTCCTCAGATAGTATATGTATCTTGTTGTCTAAATTGAACTGAAATTTGTCAGAAGGATCCTGTCTGTTCCTTTCTTTAATTCTTCCTCACTATGCCCATTATGGGCTTCTTCATCCAAAAAACATTTCATAAATGATTTTTAACTGATCTCCCACAGTAACTTTCCCAAAAGGGATCATATTCTAAGAAATGATCAAATTCAAGAGTATGTGTGTAACAGGACAATTTATTATGAATTTATTGTAAGAATCTATTAAGAATTAGAAAGGAATGCAGGTGTTCTCTTCCTCCTCTGCATAGCCAGGACTTTGTTTCCTTGAAGTTGTAGGTTTCCTGACCCCTAGAGGAGGTTGACTTTTTTTGTGTGTGTGTTTGTTTATTTATTTATTCAAATTTTTATTATTTTATTTTATTTGCATTTTTTTTTCATTATGATAAGTGTACTTTTTAATCCCCATCACTTGTTTCACCCATCCTCCCACCTACCTCCCCTTTGGTAACAATCAGTTTGTTCTCTATAATTAAGAGTCTGTTTCTTGGTTTGTCCCTCTCTCTTTCTCTTTTTTTTCTTTTGCTTGTTTGTTTTGTTTCTTATGTTTCACATATGAGTGAGATCATATGGTACTTGTCTTTTACAGACTGACTTATTTTGCTTAGTGTTATACTCTCTAACTCTATCCATGTCATTGCAAATAGTGAGATTTCATTCTCTTTTATGGCTGGACAATATTCCATTGTGTGTGTGTGTATATATATATATATGTATATATATATATATATATATATATACATATATATATATTCTATTTCTTCTTTATCCATTGATCTATTGATGGACATCTGGGCTGCTTCCATAGTTTG